TTTTTATATCAGTTACAATTTATGGTGGAAACAACCGTGCATTAAACCGTCATGTTTTCTTCGTTCAGTAACATGAATTAACACTGTATGGAGTTCACACAGGTAAAGTGTATGTTTTGATTGAGCAAATATATCTGCACCCAGTTAAATCTATAAGAGGTGTCCCACTTTATTATTATTATTTTCATTATCATATGAAATATTTGTGTTCCAAGTGAAATCCATATTTCTGGTTTTTATTCATCGGAATATATGTTTCATGTAGTTCTTTTCTTTAATAAATGTATTTATGTTGAATGTTTTAATCAACTTAATCATTGAAATCATGTTAAGTATTGTATGTTTTGTCTTGTAGTCATAATTAAACTGTAATTAATCTGCCCTAATACGGGCACTGTGATTAGGTAATAACATTATTTGCATTTGTATAAAAATAAGGAGATGTGGTATGATGGCCAATGAGACAACTATCCACCAGAGTTAAAATGAAGTGGTAATAAGCAATTAAAGGGGCATTAGCTGTCAAATTCATGTTTGCCAATTTGACTCAAATTGTAACATACTAAAACTTATATATCCAAATTATAAATAAAATCTAAAATAAACAATTTACAATGCATGGACTCGATAATATGTATCAGGATTTCGTGTGTATTTTAGTTAGACACCATTTTATTATCCATCTATATGACATCAGAAGACTGCTGACGGTCATACAAGCCGATATAAACATAAATATAAATAGGTAGCGAACACGTGCAATCGGGGTTTTCTAGATCTGTTTAATTTTTGATTTTATAGGTTAAAAAATATATTTATCATCGTTTTTGCCTGTAAAAGAATGATTTATTTTTGGTGGATCGAATCAGTCAACCAAATGGTTAATTCTTGTTTCACTTTAAATGTTGACATTCTTTTCCTTTTAAAGCGGAACACGTCTAGTACATGCGCAACTCATCTCTAGCTAAGGGGTTAAATTGAAGTTCACGTACATGAATACGGATACAATGAGGTAAAATTATTCACTTGCTAGTCAATAATACATCAGCGATGTTTATGAGCTTATGTTGACAAATTTGGGCCAAACCGACAGCTTTTAACGAAACATTATTTCAAAATTCCGCTTTTATCAACACTTGAATAAAAAGAATCGTATTTTAAATTTGTGTCTAAATCGTAGCTAATGCCCCTTTAAATAAAGGACACCGTACGGCCTCTGATAATGCGGAAAACCCATACCGTAAAGACTGTTCACATCATGTTAGTTCACTCTATTTAATCCACTTTGGTATACATATGTATGGATCGTCCCAACATCTGTGCATCCAAAGACCGTCTACATCACGTCAGTGTATCACTGACTAAGTAAATCATAGGACACAATCATAATTGATTCATTCAAACATACAAACACTAGCCTGGTTTCTATAAAGATATAAATATATATACAATGTACACGCACCTTTCGGAATTTTGGGTGCTCGGTGCTCTTCAACTTGTACTCTATTTGGCCTTATTGACATTTTTTATTTGAGTGTCACTTATGAGTCTTTTGTAGACGAAACGCTCGTCTGGCATACCAAATCTTTATCCTGGGATCTATGATGAGTATTTTCACTGACTTGTGGACAGCGGTGCAGCTGTTTTCTTTGTTCTGTAGTTTTTGTGGATTGTTGTTTGTCTTTTTTTCATTTTGCTTTTAATATTGCCCGTCTTCCTTTGATAGCTTCATACCTAAGATTTTTAAAGAATTGCCCTTTTGCAAATGGCATAGCGTCTTCAAACTAAGTAAGGTCCAGTTGTATCATTTTACCCGGATAAAAGCAGCTCTTAAATTTATTTACAGTCCTTACTTATAATATATTTACTTTACCTACCTTCTTATCAAACTGCAGTCATTTAATAAAAAAAATGCTGCTTATAAGATGACATCAATGTTTATAAAGGAAGATTATAAATTCAAGTATAGTGTTAGATTGATGAAATTAAAGATAATACAGAAAAAAACCAATTGAGATTGACGAAAAGATAAAAACAGAAACCTTCTGAAATTTAAAGTATGTACGGATACCTATTTCCTTCAAAATTTTCTTGTGTTTCTTTCATTTCTTGTGAAACTTTGACGCCACAAAGCTCTTTTAAAAAGAACCATATCTATGGATTTTTTTTGTGTAAACATAGGTCCAAGGGCCTAAATGATAGATAGATTTCAATTGACGTAATTTGAGTTGGGTTTAATTTCTCTTGACCACCTTGTTGGAGGACAAACTGGTGGATTTTCAGACACTAAGTCCTCACTTGACTGTAGTGATGAATTATACAAGGCTTGAACAGAAAACAACTGGTTCATAAGTTTAGTAGTCACTATAATAACAATTTGTAATTGGTTGATTTATAAATGAAATTGTGCATTTTGCAATCCAACATGGTTGCAAAGACATATATGTATTTTGTTTTGTTGCTGTTTGATTGCTGTCTGATTGATTTATACCACACATCTTCATTTATTTGTCATTTATAGTATTGGTAGTTTTAACTAATGTACATGCTTCATGAAAAAAAACATGTATTTAATATTTCTTAAGGGACCTAGGGTGATATACCAATGAGATTACTCTCCACCAATGACCAAAGACATAGAAATTAAAAACCATAGGTCACCGTACGGCCTTCAACACAATCCATACCGCATAGTAAGCTATAAAATGCTCCGAAAAGACAAATGTAAAACAATTCAAACAAGGAAATTAATGGCCTGATTAATGTACAAAACAATTAACGAAAAACAAATGTGATATACAACAACAAGCGAAAATCACTGAATTATAGGCTTGTGACTTTGGAGAGGCACTTACAGAATGTGGCGGGGTTAAACATGTTTGCTGGTGCCAAACACTCCCCCTAACCTAACAGTACGACATAAGAACAAACTATAAAAATGAGTTAAAAATGGCTTAACTCATTATATCGATACAAAGGACATAAAAACCCTAACAAAAACTCAAAAGACGCAAAGTACAGATCTGAAAGTACTCACAGTCATGGAAACCTAGTTCAAAGCCAACTTGGCTAACTATAAAACATATGACCATTTTGTGCATTATCTTGAAAACCGCAATCGATAGAGAAAATCTGAGAGGGGAAGATATATTTAGAATATTGAGATCTATTGACACGAAAACTGTCAGACGATTACATATAGAAGTTATTGCCCTTAAATGGATATTTTTAAGATTTTTTTCATGTTTGCTTATCATTTTGAAAAATGCAATAGATATAAAGACACTTTGAATAGCAAAAATGATCAACAAGACAAGAGCTACAGGTAGTTCAACATAGCCAAATCTTCAGTCGACTCATTATAGGAGTTATTGCCCTAAAATGATGATGTGTGCCAATTCCTTGCGTGTTTGCCATTTATCTGGTAAACTATAATAGAGGTGAACTTTAAAAGCAAAAACGATCAGAGACAAGATCTACAAATAGGTCAAAATGGTCGAATTCAGCCTATTAGGAGTAATTGTCCCTAAATGAAGGGTTTTTACAAGTTCTTTCAGTTTTGCCTTTTATCGATAATAGATAGTTAAAACTTTAATTAACAAAATGATCAGCAAGACAAGATCTACATTGTTGAAATCGTTGATCGCTTCCTGATAGCAGTGATTACCCCTAAATGACAATTATTACATTATTGTTTTATTTATTTATATAATAGCAGTTACTAAATCCTGCTTACAAGGCTATTCGGGTAATAAAATTGCCACTCATTATTGTATGATACTCCACAGGACCCTCCAGTTTGCGTTTTAAAGACCGAAAGGGATATCGGGCTAAATTACTTTCACCTGTGTAAACATATATCAGTATAAATAAATCTATGAATTTTTCTTATTTATAATTTGTTTTAACTAGTCCAACATATATAGAGTATTTTAGATTGATTTTGTAATACATATTGCTTTATACTAGTTGTGTTTATTTCCCAACAATAGTAACAAATTTATATTTTGTCCAATGTCAATTTCATCATGGATCACTTTTTCCACAATAAGGGGTTCATTTAGGGATGAAAATAAGTTTGAAATTTGTGTAACAATTTAGATATATATCAAGGTAATAATATAAGTTGCAGTATAAAAACAATATTAGGTCAATGTCAGAAAAATATAAACTGTTGAGTATTCGGCACAAAACTGGGGAAAGGCTCGGTAAAACCTCGCTCTTCCCCAGTTTCTCAGCCTCATACAAAAAAGTTTATATTTTTCTGACATTGACCTAATATTGCAATACATGGTCCTTTGAGTACTTATTTTTATAATGTTTCATACATGGAGTTATTTTTTATTACAGAAGTGACCTAATAAGATAGACACCTTCAAATGTTTCTTTGTGATTTCTATATGCCCAGGATCAAAAGGTTTAGCACGGTTTGTAAGTAGAAGTAGACAGTTGTAGTCAATACCGGACTTAAAACTCATTGAAATTAAGCACTATAAGCAAACGTTTATATTGTAAAATTCAGAAATTTTTGCAAAGTGTTATTATCGAAAGTAACATTTTAATACATTTTGCATTATTTTTATGTGGCATTTCGTGAAAAAAGCAGTATTTTATCTCGTATTTTTGAACATTATCAAACAATCGCAAAAAAAGAATATAGTCCCGAATTCGAGGTCTGTAATTTAGGGGTTGTCGTTGGTTGCTGTCTGTCATATTGGTTTTTCGTTTATTGTTTTGAATAAATAAGGCCAATGGTTTTCACGTTTTCACGTTTGAATAGTTTCACTTTCATTTCGGGGACATTTACCGTAACAGTTTACTATACGGTATGCTGTGTAAACCCTACCGTTCACCAAAAACAATTATTTTTGATATCTACATTTCATTATTTTTAGGTAAATATGTATTTTTCAGTTACTTTCATGTTATTCAGTGGATTTAAAATTATTGATTGATAATAAAAACGGAAAAATTAGAAGAGTCAGTCTCAAAATTATATGTCACAGTAACTGTTTATTTGAATCCAAAACTTTAAACAAAACAGTACATTTTAAAGCTATGTCTTCTTTTTTAAGTCGGTATTTTCGGACCCATATGATACCATCAGTAAATAACCTCCTGTGATCATCACTGTGTTCATAAAATACGTGTAGCTTGAAAAATCGCTATCATACAAGGTTCTTCTCTTATCAATAAAGGGATAATTTCCTAATAGTAACCATACTATTATTAGAACAGCAGAAAATTTAACCCTGTAGCCTATTGTGTTGCTCACAATAAGGCACAGACCAACAGTTAAAGTAAAATCACAAAAATACTGAACTCCGAGGAAAATTCAATCGGAAAGTCCCTAATCACATGGCAAAATCAAATGACAAAACACATCAAACGAATGGACAACAACTGTCATATTCCTGACTTGGAACAGGCATTTTCAAATGTAGAAAATGGTGGATTGAACCTGGTTTTATAGCGCTAAACCTCTCACTTGTACGACAGTCTTATCAAATTCCGTTATATTTACAACGATGCGTGAACAAAACAGACATTATAAATAAAATAGTCAAAATATGGGTACAGCAGTCATCACTGTGTTACAATATCAAAACAAACAATTATTTACAAAAAAAAAGCACAAAAGCATCTATCAAATTAAAAACCACATTCATTGCTTCGCGTGTCTGACGTCAGAAAATGTAAACGTCACATAAGAAAAAAGTTAGTCATTCAATGTCTATTCAAAACAATTTTATAATTTAACATGGGGAATGTTGGTATACAGGGTTAAAAAATCAAAAGTTATGTTAGAATTAATTTCAGAAATAGACCGAGATTGAAAATTGTCCAGAAGTTCTTCAGAACCCTTAAGAATCCACATATGGTAAAATACCACTACGCGAGTAAAATAAATTTGTCGTTTGTCGTTCAAAGTATTTTCAAATTTATAATAGAACAATAACATAATGACATATAATAGAACAATAACATAATGACGGGATCTTTTAAAGTACAGAGTCACGTTATAAGAACCACAGAAACACAAAAAGTCGCATATACAAAACACACCATTAAAAATGAAAGATAATACAAACACATTGACGGGATGTATAAGTACCTAGCCACGTCAAATGGATATCACAGAAAACAAACCAAACAGTAAAAGTAATATTAATAATAGAACAAAGACAAATGAAAGAACAATATTACACGTTGTTAAGATGATAAACAACGTCAGCATGCAGAATCTATACTTCAAGACCATCATGTATTATTTGTGAAGTTGATACGGAATATTTATCAACAAGGTCTTGGTACCTTCCGATGAACTTTTTTAGAAAAAGGACGAGACGTTCTTTGACATACCCCTGGTTCATCAACTTTCTGCTCAGACACTGGTGACGTTTTACAAAGTCTGAGTTGGAGCTGCAAGCTCTTGAATATCGAATAAGTTGGGAAATGTATATCCCATATGCAGGTGAAGTTGGTATATTGCTACTAAGGTGGGGGAAATTTATAATTTTAAAATTAAAATCGTCTCGTTTGTCATAGATTCTGGTAAGCGTATCCAACCAGGCGTTTCAATGTTCTCAAACAATAGTGGAAAGTACATCCAAAGTACTAGAATCTTTCCTGTCATTTTCGATTTCCAGTTTCCCACAAAAAAGGAGGATGGTGAACCTGCAAACAAACTCTTTCCTCCTGGAACATCTGCATAGGCCATCAGTATAATTCCACATATAGTAATTGCCCTACAAATATATTCATATAAATGAATTTTAATAACTGATTCCTATAGCTATACCCTAAACCAACAAACACAATAAAATAGTTTACATTTGCCTCTTGGGAAAATTATCATCACGAGGAAACTATAACTTGAATGTGACTGTATATATTTCATTCATTCTTTCTATCACAATCCATTTATAATCTTATCTGATAGTAGTTTGTATCTTCAAATCAAACTATCCCCTTGGTAAAATATTTTAACCAGATGTTCTAGGAGAGTCGCGGGCAAGTCTTCTTTGTCATTAGTGGAAGTTAACATACTTATGATCAAGCAGATCTTACATGTATTTTGTTTTTTAAATCAACTGTCTATTTGAATATAGCATACATTAGTCTGGGAGAGAATGATTTATTCATAAGTTGTTATTGACTTTGAACTAGCTTTCAGGAACCGCGAGTACTCTTAGATCGGCAAGTTGTGTCTTTTGTCTTTATGTTAGTTTTGTTTCTGCTTCGTGGCGATCTGTCAAGACATTTCCAACTGATTTTTACAGTTTGTTCTTATGTTGTGCTGTTACACCAATGTCACCGGTTAGGAGGAGGATTGAGCGCTCACAAACATGTTTGATAAAGGCAACAGTAGTATACCGGTGTTCAAAGTCATAAATCGATTGAGAGAAAACAAATCCGGGTTACAAACTAAAACCGAGGGAAACACATCAACTATAAGAGCACCGCCTCATTCTTTATGTGTCTGTCCCAAGTCAGCAACCTGTGATTCAGTGGTTGCTGTTGCTTGCCGTCTGTCATATTTGTTTTTCGTTTATTGTTTTGTCGTAAATCAGGCCGTTGGTTCTTTGTTTCATATTTTGTCATGTTGGTGACTTTGATAGCTGACTATACGGTATGGGGTTTGTCTCGTTTTGGACCTATAGTTGCGTAAATTTACTTCATTTGGACTCAGTTTGATAGTTGTCTCATTCGCAATTATACTAACTCTCCTTTTGTACATGTATGTAAAAATGTGACACTTATTTATTAACTGTAAGGTCATATAAAAGTAACTATTTTTATATTGACAAGCTTTAACATTATATATTTTAAAAATTGCTACACATTCGCAAACACTGAACTCTCTTTACAAAACTCTTGGAAATTTAATGAAAAAAATCCGTTTAGGTAATTATTCTCATTTGCGCGGCTTTTCATTTTTAATCTTAATGCACGACATTTCTAGATCCTGACACTTTTACTACGGTATATTCATCTGTCTGCAGTATATCGATAGTAACATATACGTATAAGGTTACCGGTTTTCATACGATATACACATTTGTGTAAGCAGGCCCGTAGCCAGGAATTTTCAAGTGGGGGGAGTGGTTACATCGACTCGCGACAAACAAAAACTCAAAGGAGAAGGTCCGGTAAGGGCTCATTTTGGCCTAAAATTTGAAGTACATCTGATGAAAGATTTTTGACATTTTTTTAACGCTTAAGTGTCTTCTTCAGTCGATTCAATTAGTTTTTGTAAAAGATTTGAACTGATTTGGTCATTAAAGACGCCTAAATTCAAGCTTAAATATGCCACAAAACGTCACTTTTCGGATGGTTTTTGTCAATAATGGAAGTGGCCGCATTCGTGTTCAGTCTCAACCTTTATATATGATATGTATCATCGTCAAATGCATCTTATATTTAAATATTAAGACTGAACACAAGTGCAGCCACTTCCATTAAAAACAAAAACCGTCTAAAAATAAGCACAAATGCTAAAGTTGTGACAATTTCAGTAATTTTGCATGAATAAATAATGCAAGTACCTGATGCATGTGCATTGTATTGTCAAAATAACCCATATTTATGTAACAAAAGTATTTAACTTTCCAATAAATAGCTTAAAGTTTACATTTTTAACAAATTTTTGAAATGCTATATTTTGGGTCCAAAAAGGGGTCTTACCGGGTTTACTCCTTTAAAAGTCACAGTTCATACAGAACGTCGATTTTAATAGTGCTTATTTGTTTTCAAAGGTCGACCCCTGGCTAATTACGGGCCTGTATATTCATAAAATGTACTCGTTTTATATCATTAGGGTTGAATTATTGGCATATATATATAAACACATTCCATTTCGTACAAATGGAATGTGTTTATGCCAATAGTTCAACAATACGGAGTATATATCTCCCAATTGATACGATATTCCCCGGCTTGTATTTCCAATCATGATTTCCTTGATAGAGGATTGCTGCTCACAAGAAAGCTATTAAACCAAGAGTTCCAAATGGTGAAGTTGAAATCATCCCTTCGTAAATTTTACGGACGCCATCACGAGTTGGTTGACCGTTATGGAATAACCGTTTCACAGATAATATCGGATATGTTCCTTATGTCGTAACTACAATACCCTTCCCTTTTCACGAATGTGACCTACCAAACTAGACTATTTACCGGATTTGTAATAACATAAGCAACACGACGGGTGCCACATGTGGAGCAGGATCTGCTTACCCTTCCGGAGCACCTGAGATCACCCCCAGTTTTTGGTGGGGTTCGTGTTGCTTAGTCTTTAGGTTTCTATGTTGTGTCATCTGTACTATTATTTGTCTGTTTGTCTTTTTATTTTTGGCCATGGCGTTGTCAGTTTGTTTTCGATCTATGAGTTTGACTGTCCCTCTGGTATAATTCGTCCCTCTTTTATGAATATACATTTATTGCGAAATCATAGCGACAGCTTACCTGAAAAATGGAGTTTCATCATCTTTTGATAGTAGGTATATCTGGAAGAAAGTTAAATAGAAAAGTGATTAAACATTTTAGGATTAAATCATTTATATATAGATACGAACAAACGACATTTACAGTCTATAACTATAATCAAACATGTGATATTTGAGTGCGCACGATACATTTACATCATGCACGTTTAAAGCCAATATCAGGGACATTTTTGTCCTAACATTTAATCAATAGACTTTAACAAAACATCAAGTTTTGTCTCAGATCGAAATTGCCCGAGGGAGTTACGATCTTAGTTTTATTGATTGTTGATTGTTGGTTGCTTAAAGTCCAATGAAAAATATTTCATGCATGTTCAGGAAGAGATCAAATAAAAAATAAATACAATAGGTTTATGTCCTGTAATAGAGGCCGTGCGGGATGAAGGTCGGAAAAACATCTAGCTTAGATCGGCAGACTTCGCCTACGTTTTGTCATGTTTCTTATCATTATTAATTGATAATATTAATTATATCGTTTGCAAAATTCAAAACTTTGTGTTGTCAATTAGATATTAACAGACATAAATGCAAATCATGCAGTAAGAAATGAAATACCTGAGATACTTTCACCAATGACAAAATCAGACATCCAATCTTTATCTTTCGTCGTAGAATAACCATGAGACAGCCTGCTATTTGTCCGAAAATGACCATACTTAATAAATGGTCCTGGTGAAAAATCCTACTATGATATAACCATATATATTGTCTATCATCAGACCATTTTAGACCAACCTTTATACAGTCAAGAAGATAAACACAGATAAGACAAAGTCTTGCTACAACAGCCAAAGAGGGTCGGTATTTCTGTAAAACCTGTATAAAAATAAAGATATTTATTGTACACACTGCGTCTGGTTTCCTCCTTATCGTCGCACCTGGTCTCGCTACGTTTGAATTTTGTGCGAATCAAGTAGTTTTTTTTAACTCGTTTTGTATGTTATGATATTATTTTTATATAATTTTGTTACAGCAAATTTTGATAACACAAAATCTGTATACTCATGCCAGTACCGAAGTACTGGCTACTGGGCTGGTGATACCCTCGGGGACTTTCAGTCCGCCAGCAGAGGCATCGACCCAGTGGTAGTAATAACATAAACGGTACCAATTTTTCTGCACCAGATGCGCATTTCGACAATCAATGTCTCTTCAGTGATGCACGAGGACAAAATATTAGAAAATCCGAACCTTATTAAAACGATGAAGAGCTATAAACCAAAAAGGACAAAAAAATATAGCTAAAGCCGGGCAAGAAATCAGAGCTTTGCATGAGGGAGATATATTCCTTAATTTTAAATAATTTCAAAATTTGATAACAGCAAATTTTAATTAAACAAAATCCGTATTTTCATGCCAGTACCGAAGTACTGGTTACTGGACTGGTGTTACCACAAAGTTTTAGAAAATAGCGTTATTTCAAATATTTACCAGATACAAATCATTCAGATATCAGTAAACACATAGAATAGAGTTGGCCTCTGGTTAAACTAAAATATGTTTGAAATAAAACAGGAATTTTTATAACAAAGTTATGAAGGAATAACACAAAAAATAGTTTCCTTCCTTTTTTCTTCGGTGTCAAGTTGAAATGAAAAGATTTGCTTGCACAACTGGACAGGGGTATAATGTACTTAACAAAATAATAAGCTTCTGAGTCATCTACATGATGTAAATCTCTTATATACATTTTTTACCAAACCGTACGGCCTTCATCGATGAGTAAATCCATACTGTAAAAGTTAGCTATACAATGCACGAAAATAAATAGGACGGACAGAAACTACATAAATCAATTAAATACATGCTCCTGACTTGGGGTAGGTACATAAAGAATATGTCGGGGTTAAACATTTTGAGTGATCACTCAACCCCCCTTTACCCACATTAAGAGCAGGAATTACTTATCCTACCAGTGCACCTTAGATCACCTAGGTTTCTTTTGCTGTGTGTTGTAAACTGTTGTTTGTCTTTTGGTCGTTGTTCTTTTTTGCCATGACATTGTCAGTTTTTTTTAATAATGAGTTTGAATGTCCATTTGGTATCTTTAGTCCCTCCCTTACCAGGGATATTACTTGTTATAAGTATGTGGCGTCTCCAAACATTAGCCCAATCCATAGAGAGTTATTGAATTTGTTCTGTGTTTTCATTAAAAGGGAGAAAAGTAAGCAAGAGGGAAATAAAACAGATTACACCATGACCAAAAAATAAAACCGTCGAAAAGACAAACAACAATAACAAAAAATTATACAGGAAAACTGAAGATTGAGTGACACGAACCACGACGAATACTTAAGGAAGAAACTATAGGTTTCCTGAGGGTAAGAAGTTCCGTTTCTACTTAAAAAAAACCCGTAGTTTTAATCATGCAAGTAAACAGGCGGTGACAAATCGCTTTCGAAAACGATAAAATCGAGAAAGGCAGATCTGTGACACAGATTTGCCATAACGGTAAACCAAATTATGATGGCGTTTTTAAGATTTTCGAAGTGATCAATTCAATTTTAACATTTGGGACCCTTAATACAAAAGCTTCCTTGTAAGCAGTAACCCTCTATCAAGAAAATTATAACAGGAAATTTAAATCCTGGCATAGCGTATCAAATGGGAAATATATACTCAATATGAAGGCACAGTTGGATTGTTGTTTCACATAAATGGAAATTTCACAATGGGAAAATGAAAATAATCATTTTTGTCCTAAAGTTTAGTTCTCAACCGACATGTGTTGTCAATTTCTAGATGTACGACACGATATGAGACAGACTAAACTGTAGCATTTTTTTTTATCTGCAAACTATGAACTTGATATTCGGGACAAATATAAATATTAAAATTATTCCTTACTACTAAATCTATTTCCCACTAGGGCAAAAAGTCTTACGATCTTAACTTAAATTAAAGGTATTGCATTTTGAACCTTTACTAAAAGTTCACAATATCGCAGCCTCAAGTGTAAACATTGAGGTTATAAAACCATATTTCTGAACAATAAACAATGCTTTAAACTCTTAACATTCTTAAAATATAACTGTAATTTCTAATGGATTAAACAAATAAGCTGTTTATTCTTCCAAATAATGAACAGGAAGAACTATTCAAAATTCTGTTGGAAGTAAAGCTATGTACTGTCGCTTAGACACAAGTTCATTCAGTTAGGTTTACGATTGCCTACACAGCAAAGATTACAAAAACATATTTATTTTTTTTAAACTAGTGACCCGCTTAGATTTGGGCGATGTAAGTATTAGCATCCTGGCACAAAATCACTTAATAACTTTTATAATGTCGTCTAACTCGAATGTTTGGCTTTTTATGTGTCGTTTCTTTTCATTATTACTAGAAAGTAACATGATGAAGCGCGGGTTTGAAGGACACTTTGAATATATATTTTTGAATACAGCCGTATCATTCTTTATCATTTTCTTTATTTGAGTTATTGGGATTGATAGTTGTTAAGATATTCAAAACTGTCATATTTTTGCAATTCAATGAGTCTGTAGTTCAGTGGTTGTTGCTGTTTTCATGAAATATTAAGGTTTACTATTTTTGACTTTAGTTAGATAATAAATTGCCTGTTTTGAGTTTTCACATTTGGTAACTCAAGTTAGTTTTTTTTACTTACTTGTCTGGCGTACACTATTTTAATCTTGGTATCTTTGATGAGTTTATTTGCAACCACTATGTCGATGCCACATGCTGGTTTTATCTGGAGGGTTTCACCAGTTCAGTAGTCAGCGCTTCTGCGTTGACACTAATTATCATTGATAAGGTCAAAATTCTAAATTAACAGAAACTTTAAATTTTAGTAAATAATAGGGATAAGCTACCCGAAGGATAGATAACCGTAGTTGCATTTTGCAAAACCTTTCGGAATTATAGGTTCTCAACGCTCTCTTACTTCGTACTTTATTCGGCGTTTTTAACTTTTGATGCAAGCGTCACTGATGAATGTTTTGTAGACAAAATGTTTTGCATTGGGGAAAAACACTGTAGCAAGTTGTTTTATAAAAGTTAATTTCCTGTCATTTAGTCAATTGCACAATCATTTTTTCTCATTTACAATACCCTATCTCCATTTGTACACTTATAATCATATTTTTCGACATTTTTACTTTTTATACCTCATCACTGGTGAATGGCTCTTTTTCTTTGATTTTTCTCGATAATTTCACACTTTGACCCATGCCTCCAGAGTTGACTTTTAATGGTTTCTGCTTAACCTCAATTTCGCCAACTTTACCAACTAAGCTAAGACTTGGAGTGTCATTTGCCAGATTAAACACAAACTCTACACTGTCATACTGACCATTTTATATGTTTGTTGTTAAATTGTTTTCTTCTTTTGATAAGTTTGATTCCAAGTGTTTTTAGAGATAAATATACTTGTAATTCTGTTCCGTTTTCTTTCAAAAGTGCCACGCTTGCCTTTAAGTCTTGAATGACATTGAGTTTTTCCTTCAGCCCTCTTATTGTTTCATGCGCTTTGGTTTTGCTTTCCGACTTTAGCTCGTCCAACTTACGTAAAAATTCTCCTATATCTTCGTCTAATTTCTTGTGTATCTGAGTTCTCATTTCATTAACATTATTGCTTATTTCGTTTACTTGTACATTTATGTTGCTAATGTCTTCTCTTGATTTATTCAAAATCGTTTCAATTTTTGAAAGTAGAACATTCAAGCCTTCTTCAATATGACAGAAAGCTACAGATGATTTCGCGTTTCTTACAACATCTTCGAGTAGCAAAACACTATTACAGGTCTTATGATCTAATGTGCTGCATTTAATGCAATGATATTCTTGATGATCACAACAGAAAAAGTCAAAACTTCGTTCGTGTTCAAAACAGGTTTCCTGGACAGATTGTGCAAATTCAGGTATTGATCGACGATCCTTAAAAGTAACAAGGTCGTGCCGTTTTAAAGCTTTTGATGATCTGTGATGGTTACTGCAATACACACAAAGTCCTTCTTTACAATCCATGCACCAACAAATAGGTTCCATTGATTCATTTCTAAACATACAAGGAGTACACATATTGTGTGAGGTGCAGAATACTTCTTTGTCCTAAAGAAAAAATAAATTATTTACTGAAAATGTTTATGCATGTGAAATAAACGTACTAGTAATAGATTTCACAAATACTTAAATAATTCTGAAAATATATTTCCGACGTTCGATGTTAAAAATTTATAAAAAGTAATACATTACTTAAACATTAACTGCAATCAACGATTGACTTTAGTAATCTTATAAATTGTCTAACTTAATCCATTTCGTGTATAACAACCGTCTATTAAAAGTTTTGAACATAAATCAAGGGACTTTACTTAAGATAATTGCATTGTGCGTTTATCTATTCAATCAAGTCCTTAAATGATTGTATTCATACGGTTCGCATCTAAATTAAAGTATACGAGAAGATACAGAAAGTTAAAAATAACTTGAATTAAATGCATATTGAATCTGCCATTTGTTGGAGAGTGTGTTCAATCATAGCTGTAAGGCAATTTGTATTTTCAAGATTTTAAGATTTAGGTAATTTTATCAATTATGATCTAGCCACATAATATCAATCCTTTAGATACACTTATTTATTCTAAAAGGTTACCAATTCAACTCTGTAATTAAATCTTTGAATATTGTTTTTATTGGTATAAATATGGATTCTGTTATCAGTAAATTAAAACCATACTAAATAGTATTGATATACATATATGCACTTTCACGGTAATACAATCTGTCGACACCAATATTTTGGCATTGCACAAGGTCATGTCTTCTCTGACTCTTAATGACGTCTTTACACTAAATACATTAGATGTTGGATGTGTACTGATTGATATCTTAGTCTAAGATACATGATGTATTTTTTATTTTATTAGTTGTTTTTGGCTTTGAACTAGCTGTCAGTAACTGCGAGTACTCTCATCTCTGTACTTTGTGTCTTTTTTTTTGTTAGAGATGTATAAATACCCTGCCACGTCCGGTCTTTTTTTTTTAGTTGTTTTTCTACTTTGTATCGATCAGAGGAGTTAAGCCATTTTCCACTGATTTTATAATCTGTTCTTATGTTGTGCTGTAACACCACTGTCCGAGGTTAGGGGGGATTGAGCACTCAAAAACATGTTTAACACCGCCACATTTTGTATGTGCCCGTCATTGGTTCATGTCTCTTTTACTTATTAGAAATGAAAGTCATTGTACTTTACAACTAACATGTGAATGGAAATTTATTTTACAGTATTTATAACTGTGGTGTAATAGCCTCACTAGTATAAAGTTCGGTTCAATACAACGATGTTTAAAATCGAACAATGTTCAAACCTAACATCTTTAATAAACGCTTTGTTAATGATTTTAGAGAAAGGTTTCGATTTATTTTTTCTTCTCGTCCTTTTATATTTTGATATTGCTATATAATTATATTGCTATAGGTCTTTCATTAAATCATTATAATGAGGTAATAGTTCATATGTTACAACTTAAATAAAAGCAACAGTAGTATACAGTCGTTCAATAGTCATAACTTGATTAAGCAAAAACAAATCCGGATAACAAACTTAAACCGAGGGAGACACATCAACTAAAAGTAAGATTATAAGTTTACTAAAGGCAACACAGTGCTCAATGGATACTTGGATGTTTATAAAAGCGAGTCACGTGTATTAAAAAAGTATAACAGAAATATCCAAGGTAAAGGGGAAGTCCATAAAAACTGACAAAAATCAAACGTTATCAATTAACAGAATGGGTGGAAAATAACTGTCATATTCCTGACTCACAGTCATTTTCCGAAGAAATTGATTGTTAAACCTGATTCTATATCTATCTGAACCTCCCATTTGTATGACAGTTGTTTATAATTCCGTTGTATTGATTAAAAGCGCAGAAACAAGTACGACCCATTTCCAATAAATTAATCATTTTCAAAACGTCTTTCAATCTTTAATGGACGGTCATTTGAAATTCGCTCAAAATTATAGGAGGGGACCACTCCTATGTAGATTATATTTAGGAATTTGGAAAATAAAAAATACTTCGTCTTCATGTCCAAAAAGAAGCTGAGGAATAATTCGCCATAATATATTCATTACAGAAGATATTACAAAAAAAGATAGACAAGTTATCCTTTTAACAAAGATTCATTCATTTCAGACATTCGATAATAAAATTGTTGCCAAGATGGAATCCAACTCAAAAACCCCTATCACTTCCGCTCAAGATGTTGGCGATCTTACTGAGTTACTTGTCTGAATATCAATCTTAGAGTCACTATATTGAAACTTCATCTGTTTGAATGAGTTCTAAAATTATTCTTCATTTATCTTAATATTCTAGTATCAATTGTAAATTGACGACATGCACACAGTAATAACTTTGTCAACTATGTTTTATTTGTTTACGCCAAAATTCTCAAAAAGGAAATAACAGTCTTACTTACCTTTAACGAAACTGATAAGATTATATTCCTTCGATATACTTCAGTATACTTGTCACGTGCTACTAATTATGTACCCCTGTTCAAGTGTACAAAATTTCACTCGTGTCATAGTTATTGCGACAAGTCTTACTAGTGGTTTGTCAAAATATCTGCACACACGACCAGTGGACAACTAGAATTAGCTGTTTAAATCAGAATTCTAAAAATAGAATATCTTTTCTTAAAAGACATTTTCAGAAAGTCGTCTATACAAATACTTTACGCTACGCTGACTTCGTTCAATTCTTTCGTCAAATGAAATTTCCCGTTCAGACTTTTGTTTTGTTATTCTGTGAAAGAACTTTTTAAGCATTGGACCTTTTATTTATTGATCAGACAAGATTTTTTTTACCCTCTTTTGTGTTTTGATCAACTAAAGAAGATAGCGAGAAACTAAACAGACTAAATGATCAGCAATGCAAGATGAATAAAAACAGATTTTTGTCATAAATTCTATTCTCATCTACAATGTTAGAGAGTCCTTTGTGTTGAATATGCACATAGACCATGATGAGCGACATAGGCTCTTAAGAGCCTCTAGTTGTCTCGTCTCGCCTGCAACGAACGTCAAAGTATGCGAGAATACGGAATACTATCTGGCGGAAGCGGTTGCCGAGGCAGTGATAGAGGAGGCGGTGGTGTAAAACATTTGTATAAAGCTTTATATTTCAAAAGGTAGAAGAAGTTACGTAATCAGATGTATTTACTCCATGGTTAATCATTGAAATATAGGAACAAAGATTTCAACTCAGACAAAGTTGACCTTATAAGGAATTGGCTATTTTTGTGTCCATTTTGGTTATATAGCTCGATTGTTTAGGATTTATACATCATTGACTTTGAAATATTCGGCTTTAAGCGTTCCCTGATGAAGATATATCAAAGAAACCGATCCGGACGCATGAAATTTGACGTGTTGTTTGAATTTTTTATAGCACTGGGTCGATACCTCTGCGGATGAACTATCAGTCTTCGAGGGCATCATCAGCTCAGCAATCAGTACTTCGATATTGACCTGATTCATACAAAGCCTTCTAAAATTGTCCATGTATAAATCTTGAAATTATATAGAACCTCAGATTTCAACTCCCTCAGGCAAATTTTGTAATTATATGGAATTGACCATATTTAATGTCTTTTTTGGTTATAAAATTCTGTTTAGGGTTTTATACATCCTTGGTTTTCAAATAACTGCTTTTCAGCATTCCTGGTGAAGGTCAATGCAGAAAAGCGCTTTGGACGCATGGAATTTATAACGTGTTATTTTCATTTCTTACAGCACTGGGTCGATATCTCTGCTGGTGGACTGTTTAACCCCGCCACATTCTATATGTGCCTGTACCAAGTCAGGAGCCTGTAATTGAATGGTTGTTGTTTGTTGCTGTTGATCATATGCGTTGTTTGTTTATTGTATTGTACAGTTCTTGTATTGTTCTGTCGCACCACTGTTCCAGGATTAGGGGGAGGGTTTGGCGCCCACTAACATGTTTAACCCCGCCACATTATGTATGTATGTGCCTGTCCCAAGTCAGGAGCCTGTAATTCAGTGGTTGTCGTTTGTTGCTTGTTACATATTTGTTTTTCGTTCATTATTTTGTACATAAATTAGTCTGTTAGTTTTCTCGTTTGAATTGTTTTACATTTGTCATTTCGGAGCCTTTTATAGTTGACTATGCGGTATGGACTTTGCTCATTGTTGAAGGCCGCACGGTGACCTATAGTTGTTTATTTCTGTGTCATTTGGTCTCTTGTGAAGAATTGTCTCATTGGCAATCATACCACATCTTCTTTTTTATACCAGTTCCCGAGGGTATCATCAGCTCATTAGTCAGAATTTCGGTACTGACCTGACTTATAACAAACCTTTCTCAAATTGTTGGTGTATCAATTTTGAAATTAAATAAAGAAATTAAGGTTTCATCTCCTTCAGGCAAAGTTGTCCTTAGCTGGGTTTGGCTATTATTGAGGCCCTTTTGTGGTTATATTGCTCTTCAAATGTTTTAGTTTTTGTACATCCTTGGATTTCAAATATTCGGCTTTGAGCGTTCCTGATGAAGATAATCAGATAAGCACTTCGGTTGCATAACGTGTTGTTTTCTTTTTTGGTTTATATAATATCACTTACTTAATCCTAATTGTTATGCTCAAGGGTAATATAATTGTCACTTAATATTGTATGATAATCCACAGGACCTTCCGATTATTATGATTCACAAGGGTTAAATAATGATTGTTAATCACGTTTGACTGTCCCTCTGGTATCTTTCGTCCCTCTTTTACATGAACCTCTGTTGAAACTTATTAGGAGAAAATATAGATAAATTTTAGACGTTTAATGCCATTATTTATAATTATTCTAAAGCATTTGGACAATCTGGATTAAAAATTATAAATTTGTCTAATCTTATAGACATGCTTTTAAACATGCGCTTTATTTACTTCGCAATTGTTCTGTAAACAATTACAAGTTTTAATGTTCAATCGTAAATATTCAACAATTACATGCTGAATTGCATGAGTTACCCAATTATCATGCACATTAAAACACTTTTACATGTTTACCTTTTATTATATGTGTTATACGGGTATTTAAAATTTAAATATTTCATGCTACGACTTTTTATAGCTCATCATGCGGTTTTATATATTCTATCATTCTTACACAAAACGTATGAAATTTCTGGGGAATTATTTTCAGTAACTACTTAAAAAATTATCACTAAAGATACCCGGCTTATAATTTTGAACGCCAGACGCCCGTTCTGTCTACAAAGACTCATCCGGACGCTTGATTCAAAATTATTAAAGCCAATTAAAAAACGAGATGCTAAAGATTAAGGTCCGAAAATTACAATAGGTTTTTGCAAATACAATTATAAGAGTTTTTAAAATTTGGTAGTCACTTTCCTATGAACATAATATTCCTAAAGCTTTTGAAGTGTTTTAAAATTAGTTGCTTATCAACTTCCAGTTTACTGAATACTAGTACTTATATAGTCTTGCACATAAAGGACATATATGAAACTACTGTCGCATTTTTCTCATTATCTGCTAATTAGGAGCTTTCAAAAATTTGGTAGTAAGCTTTCTTTGAAGGGTTTTCAAAAATTCATTACTGAATACTTATTAATTCTTGCACATGATAAAGATTCGTGAAATCTTTGTCACATTTTGTTCTCATGAACTACTTATTTAAACACCTTGAACATTGATACCAACTTTCATGGGAGCGTTCTTGTTTACCGCATTGTTGACGCAGTTTATTGAGTGTACTGTAGCTCACAGTTCAATTAATTGCAGTCAATTCCACTGTTCGGACAATTGTTATTTCATTTTTATTTTTATTTTCAATCTCTACCAGTGTTTTATTTATAAGGAAGATACTTATAGTGTTTGGGTATTTATCTCAAATTATCATTTATAGAAAAATAGGTTTGAATAGTTTAGTAAGGTACATAAAAAGTAATGTCACAAATATGTATGCCACCTCTTTGCCCTTTAGTCTATGTTTCCGAAAGAGATAATTTTTAAAAAGCAATCTGTTGTGTTTTGGTTAATTTTTCGTGCTTTGTATCGATCTGATGAGTTAAACCCTTTTCAACTGATTTTTATATTTTGTTCTTATGTCATAGAGTTACAGCACTTTCCTAGGTTAGGGGAAGAGTTTGGCGCCTTCAAAAATGTTAATCACCGCCACATTCTGTATTTGCCTGTCCCAAATCAGAAACCTGTAATTAAGTGGTTGTCATTTGTTGCTGTATATCATATTTGTTTTTTCATATATTGTTTTGTACATAAATCAGGCCGTTAGTCTTTTGTTTTTGAAGGACATACGTTGGTGACCTATATTTGTTGACTTCTACGTCATTTGGTCTCTGACGGAGAGTTGTTATCATACCACATCTTCTTATTTCAAGATCTGCACATAAGTCAACTTTGCCAAAATTGTTAGTCCACTTATTATAGGATTTTCTGCCCTTGAATTATTTGCCCATTTTTAATTTTTTTTACAAAAACTATAGGAGAAAGAGAGAAACTAAACAGAAAAAATATCAACAATACAGGTTCAACAAAAGAAAGAGACCTATATGTATTATATTCTAGTCTGAGTCTATAATGTTGGAGAGTTGCCATTGTTGAAGATGCACTATATTCAAGTTGAGCAACACAAGCTCTTTAGAGCCTTTGGTAGAAGTATTGTGACACCCTTTGAATGCAACTTTTCTGAACCTTTTGACAGAAAGATTAATATTAAATTGGTACTATTGTTTGCCATCTTGTGTAGTTAGCCTATTGTACAGCAATTTTGAAGAGAGTTACGGGACTTTAACTATTTGTTGGAGTAAGGTTATACATGTATCGACACCTTGTAAACGCATCTTCTCTGAGACCATTTGACAGAAAGTTCTTATAATTGGTAGTAGTGTGTGCCATCATGTGTCGTTGACCATATTACAACATCATTTTGATCCGACCAGATTGAAGTGAGTAATGGAACTTTGACGATTTATTTTGGTATAGTATTTACTTGTAAACAAATGATAGGCTTAAACGGCCATTTTAATCTTTACATCATCTGAAAAGTCCGAACAATAAATTGTTTTGTCATGTTCTTTCAGTCCATTTCAGACTTATCTACTGCGGTAAATTAATTTCTGATCACACAATTGGCTTGTAGTCTATTCAGTACTGTTCAATAGCTTTTCAGACAATTCAGTGTAATAACTGTGTGCAGAGGTTAATTACAACTAATGAACAGAGCAATAGAATGTAAAACAATGAAACCCGCGAAGGATTTTACTGAAGCTCAATGTTATATATGAATGAAAAAAAGAAGAAAAATTTACTAAGCCAAAATTATCTTCTTTCTTCTTTGTTAAATCAAATACCATGATAGACACGTTGCTTATTATTACTAGAAAATACGCATGCTTATTCATGTCTTCAACGACTTATGCTATTATGTTCCGGTCATATTTTGTTTTATGTTCTAGATTTTTTAAAGCTTATAGCCACTAGTGGGGCAATATATTCTTACTCATCCATAACACCTGAAAGCATTCCTAGTTTTTAGTGGGTTTGTGTTGCTTCTATGTAGTGTTTAGTGAACTTGTTTTGTGAACTTAGGTTTTCTTTTCGTCTGCTTTCGTATTTATGCAATGTCATTTCTCTTCGACATATGAGTCTTCAATGTTTCCCTTACATCATCCGCCTCTTTGTGAACTTCATCTTGGATATTGAGCAATTTATAGTCCAAATACTTAACAAAGCTAACTAATAAAGGTAAAGTTTCACCCAACCTGATATTGGTGCTTTGTAGTGGCTATCCAAGAATTTCATAGCGGAGAAAAAAACAGATATTACTAATTTTTATATATAAGAATTAGAGAATATCAAGCAAAAACAATAATTTTATTAATAACATACATTTCATAAATTGTCTGTTTTGAATTAACAAATGGGAACACATGGAAGATATAAAAACAAATGCCATGGCTCTTGCAATTCGCTTATCTGTCACGCTTTCTATGTGAACTGTTTTTATTGTTGATCAATGTCACGATACGGTAAACTTCGGCAACAAACTCGAAAGTTAATTACTAGTAGCTTGCAATCAATAACCACTACCGAATGAAATATTATTTGTCAATAATACGTTATAGATGTGTAATAAATATAAAGACTTAGTGTAGTATATATGCATGCAATGGTTCAAAAATTTCGATAACATTAAAATTTCAAGAAACTCGTTTCATATGACTTTAAATCTATGATTTCTTTTTTAAGTCGGTATTTTCGGAACCATAGGCTAGCATCAATAAAAATCCGCCTGTGATCAATAGTGTGTTAATTAAAAAGAAAAAACTAGGATCTTCGTACCAAATTTCGCGATAGTAAGCTTTTTGAGTAAAGGGAAAATTTCCAAACATTAACCACACTATTATTAGAACTGCGGAAATACTGATCCTGTAGCCAACTATGTTAATCACAATGAGACACAGACCAAGTGATAGTCGAATCCAACTGGATGAGTTTATATTTTCAAAAAAAAGTGGAAAATACATCAAAAGTAACAGAATCTTTCCAGTAAATTTTGCTTTCCAGTTTACCTCGGATAATAAGGATGACGTACTAGCAAACAAACTCTTCTCTCCTGTGTCATCTGCATATGCCATCAATACAATTCCACACAAAGAAATTGCCCTGCAAATATATTTGTCATAGACAAAGTGATATACCAGATTCATCATATCGTAATCTTTCAATATATATATATATATACATATACTTTTAACTACATGGACCATACGCAGCAAGACCCTTGTCTATTTATATCACAAATATACCAGTTTAAGCGTTGCTATGTAAAACGTGCATACACTTAGGAGGTTTTGCTAGCTATAAAACAATGTCTAATCTAATATTACTTAGGAACATGCCTGTTCCAAGTCAGGAATATGACAGTTGTTTTCCAGTCGTTCAGTTGGTTGATAAAGTCGCCTATTTGAATTTTCATTTTCATGGCCCTTTACAGAAAATATTGACAATTATATCACTATTTATCAATTATTCTTTTATGATTTGCATCTCAACAAATACTTTTATAGGATTAGTCCGTTTTTCCACTTGTCTAACACTTCGATAGACTATGTTGTCAAACTACTTTCTTAAACTATGAAAACCCTATGTTGATTTCCTAGACCTAGTGACCTCTCCATGTGCGAGATGATACACATGCATGGGATCATGGGTTAAAAAAACTCGAAGTCATTCCGTTACTTTTACGCTTCAAATTCGGATAATATCCCATAAAAATGTAGTTTTTGAGGTAGTAGTTGTTTCATTTTCAAGTATTTTGCATTAATGGAACATAAATGGATTTCAAAAAGTCAATATGGCGGTTCACACCTGTCATATTTTACAGACAGGGGTGCAGAAAAATTGTAAAGGCACGAAAACGGGGTAAATATTGAAATAAAATTTAGAGCTAAAAATACCCCCCTTTCACAGATGAGAAATTTACGCTTTCATGTTATGCAAGTTCATCGTAAGGACGCTACTGATTATAAGTTCACAGGAGAAATTTCTGGTAAACAGTAACAATGATAAGATTAAGGTAAAACCAACATTATCATTAACTTTCATCATTTCCCTATTAATGTAGCAACCGATTAGGACCTTGTGCTATATGAGTTTTGTGTCAAATTGATTTGTAAGGTTCATTACGTACATGAACCAATTTCCATTTACTTTTGTATCGGCTTTATATTTCACTTGAACTCGCCAATTCTTTGTTTACATTTCAAAGCAACTAGTTCAGAGATATCATGGGAAAATATCAACTAAATTGAATGATACGCAGCAAATCTTATCACTTTTAAATTAAAGTAACTAGGCAATTTCAAACCAACATTATTCCGATATAAACATTAAATGCAACACACAGAAAAAACCGGGCAAGGCGTTCTATTTTACAAATTTTTTTGAAAAAAAGAAAAAAGTTTTAACTAATAATTACTTTTGTAAAAAAACATCCTTTTTTTATCTTGAAAAGACACAACTTTTAAATTGCTTTATTCACACATACTATTTTGTATTTAAAGTTCCTGCGACAATGGCGTGTTAGAAAACTAGTTATTTGTGGAAATTTGGGGATTTTAGAAAAAAAGGTACCTTATTTTATTCTACATGGAACACTCTCAAAATTTGTGTATGGAAAGAACTCTTCTCAGTTGTTTTTATCAATATGCAGCAAACATTTTTTTTCTTATTTCAGTATAACAAATTTATAATGCAATTTCCTCATTAAATAATGAAAACAAGACCATTATGCATTTGCAAGTATATTTCAAGTTACATAATCTAACAAGTAATATTTTAACTTTTTCTATTTAATAATTAATGAACGATTGTGATTTTTTTTATATAAGTTTTAGTAAGTTAAGTTACTGATGTAAACAGCAATTGGTGTGTTACCTTTATCATAACAATTTTATCTATTTTTATTTTTACTTTTATCTTTATCTTTTTCTTAGAACCTTTGAATGTTTCCGCTTCAACAGTTCACACACTATATAATTAAACTCTAAATTTCTGATATTACCGAAGAGTATTCCCTCGTGATGCAATTCATATCATGTATATAGGAAAACAAAAGATCAGAAAGTATTTTTGAATACTATTTGACTAAAATCAATATTAAATACATAAGAATAAACTTAAAGAACATTTAAGAAAAAATAAGATATTGCAAATATTATTTTTGGTGTTAGAATCATATTAAAGAAAAAGTCTAACATCCGATGTTTTATTGAACTTTAATTGGTGATGATATTTTCTTTTGATGCGGTTGTTGGTAGTGAAAATTATTCCTATTTCATGCATATCACATTTCAACTATCATGTTATAATAAAATATGGCATTTTATAAAACTCATATCAAACTATCAAACTTTAAAAAAAAGTATAATGGTAAGCATATCGTGCTAGTGGTATGAAATTAACGATTTATAACCTAATTGTGTTATGTTTATTTTTGTGGATTAAGCTTTTCGTGAATAAAAAAAAAATTGTTAAATTTCAAAGACTGATGTATTTCAGTGTATGATTTATTTATATTTAAAAAGTAAAAAACCTAAAAAATCATTTTAAAATAATTTAATCTTAGAGTTTCTTAACCAAAACATATGAGCTTTTTCCTTGAATACCTACCTAATATATGTTATATTTCCTCAAATGCTAGCAAATGAAAAAGGTCTTCATATAGGTAATGGATGCTGCTTCATCTTAGTAGAAACTTTAATTTTACAGTAAAAAATTGTTCACATAATAGGCTTTGAATGAATATGTTTTCTAAATAAAATTTAAAAAAAAATCACAACCAATTTCATCTAAGGTCAACTTTGCCTGAGGGAGTCAGAACTTTATTTTGTTATTATAAAATGAGCCACTTATAAATATATAAAAAAGATGGTAATGAGAACAATTGAATTAGTGCAATGGTATTTAGATATGAAGATGGGTACGTTGAATAGTTCGTTTTTTGAATAACAATGAAAATAAAAAAAACAAACAGATAAAGTGAATGCACGTGAAAGATAGTATTATTAAGGTGTAGATGTCGGGACCAAAAGCGACATCAAGAACCTGAAATAAGCTCTGCGCATGTGTGAACGAAAATCCTTTTACGCAAAATGTAAATTCACCGGAAGATCTTTAACTTAATGTAGGAACGATGAGGACAGTTGGTAACATAAATTTTGTGTAAATTTGGTTTTTTATCTTGAGAAAGAGAAAATTCCTCAGGTACTAACCCCAATTTATTGATCTACTTGGTGTTGATTTGTACTTTGCAGCACTCAGATTTGCTGCATATATATAAATAAGGGAAAACAGTAGTTCACTAATGTTCAAGTTTTAAAAATCAATTCAGAACATACAAATCTAGGTTGAATTCCAAAACTAGAGGAATCGTTTACATCTATGAAATAAGATCAGATGTTTACACGATAAGATTTACTGACAAAATCGATTGGTATGCTGCAAAGATATATACATTTCGAACGAAGTCACTCGGTAAACTAACGTTATTTCGATGTATACATTTAATGCGAATACATTGAGAAGACAACCTTATTCAAATTGTTCAAAATAGTAAAATCTTAAAAATATACTTCCTGTATTATATTAGTGTTCGGAATTTTTGTTATACTTTATTATCTTTACTTTGACAGATGTAACTTTAAAATCGTTTTACTCACTTATATACATATACCAATTCCGTTACAATGAGCTAATACATGTAAGAGTGCGAAATACATTATTTGAACAATTTGTTTCGTAGAATTAAACACATATGGGGGAGGGTAATTGGTCTAACGTCCCAAGCAAACCACGCTTGATTAATCATATGAAGATAAGCATACTTTTTTAGAATGTATCTTTTGTCTGTATGATTTGATATTTTCAGACCAATTTTTTTCAAAAGCATCCATGAACAGTTTTTTTCATATTTCAATTTTACTTTAATTTCTTTTCTTATTTTCTAACATTAACTTTTTTCTGTAATTAAGAAGAAATATTCACAAAAAGAAGAAATGCAAGTGCTACGTCCACATGCATTGAACAATCACAAACATAAATGAAAGTTTAAAAATGTCTTACCTGGTAGCAGTTGTTCGGGGCTCTCTTGGAAGAAAGAATATCTGCAAGAAAAGGATACATATTTATATTGGAATTCAATATATTCTGCAATATTATAAGGTTTTAAAACGCATGAGGTTACGAGTGCATTACTGTTGGTTGAATACACCTAATAGTTTAATGAAATAAATGATTGAGAGACATTTAACAGAATTACCATTAAAACATTGCAGAATAGTAAATGATAACACAGAACCATAGACTCCTTTTTTATAGAGTATATGCTATACTATGGACGGACTTAATTCGATGTGCACAAAACAAGTTTCTAAAAATACACTTCATCAGGTATGTATGATACCAACAGCTAGGTTATCCAAAATGCACACATTTTTTAGAACACAATGTAAATAGACTTGATATAGACTTTGCGTCGGTGACTTTGAATCTATGATTAACTGCAAATTGCATTTGATACAATATTCATACATTGAAATTGATGTTGTGCGGACGAAATCATATCATACACTTTTACACACTGAAAACTGATAATCTGAAATATTTTCATTGAAATTCCTTAATGAGACATGTCTTTTCAATAAATCGGTATTCAAATTGAACAGAGAATGGAAACGAAAAAAGTATGATACATTAGTTTATGCAATATGTCAGGTCTACATTTTGTAACTCAACCAAAACAGGAAAAGCATGAGAGATGCGCATAAACAACATGCCAAGGTCTTAATAGTCCAGAGTATGGGACACGTGTATATATTTTGTTAATGTCTTAATCGTATTGAGTACGAAGAACATTAGCAATGTATCTGTACAATATGTTAAGGTCAAAATGTTTTTGAGTCTTAATAGCATGAGATATATTCATATACAATAAGTATAAATCGTTCCAATTATTAACAGTATGAAACATGTATCTATTACATAATGGCAGTGTCCAAATCATCATGAGTCGTTGGAAGATCATGATACATATGTCTATTCAATATACGAAAATCTAAATCGTCCCCGAGTCTTCAAAAAATGATTTGAGTGTCTAAACAATATGTCAAGGTCAAAATTGTCTCGGGTCTGAAGAGCATATGACATGTGTCTTGACATGATTTGTTTAAGTTAGGAAGTCTAATTATAGCTTTCATATATGGTTTATAATATATGATAAAGTGGGGTAAAACGACACTTTTTGTACAATTTGTTATTCTATAAACAGTGTAAAATTGCGATTTGGAGAATTTTAGTTATTTAGTTAACTTTGTCGACGCACCCCGTCTTGCGCAGTATAGATTTCATGCGATTCTAATGATATTCTTCTCATGGTATGTCATTGATTGTATTAATAAAATTAACCTGTTTAGAACAGCCGTGTACTATTGCTGCCTCTTATATAACCTTCAAACTTGTTCGTCTAACTGATGAATGGCATGAGCTTCTTTTTATTATTTATTATTTTGCTTTTATAGGGGTGTATTTTTTATTTTGAGGGAAGTGTACTCTGAACAAGGTGGTATCAACGGTCAATCTTCGATAGTTTTTGTTAAATGCATCCATAACTTTTGTAGATATACGATGAATTAGTGTTTAACATGCAGTATATGTACCTCCCTTTTGTTGATCTTTAAGACCGTATGCTGTATCTTATTTTATGCTGTTTATCGCTGGCTCATTGGCAACATTTTTTTCTTTTAACCTTATGAATTTATAATTCATCTGGTGCATCTTGCTTGGATTGTGTCACTCTTTATTAACAGCAATAATATTAATTGAACGGCACAGGATACATAGATAATTAAACAGACAGAAAGTAAAAGAACCAAATACCTGTGATATTTTTATCAATAAAATAATCGCACACCCAACTTTAATCTTTCGTCGTAGAAGAACCATAACACATCCCGCTATTTGTCCAAAAATAGAAACTGTTAGTAAAGTTTTCACCCCGTGATAGCTCACAAGAAATTGTTCAAAGCTTACTATACAATCAAGCAGAAAAACTACTATCAGACAAAGTCTTGCCACAACTGCTAAGTACGACCAGTATTTCTTTAAAGCCTACAGATATAAAATATATATTACATGCAACATGTATGAAGTTCAATTCATTTAACAAAACGGACATTTACAGATGCGAGGATATGGTTGATATCTTGTAGTTCCTTTATATGCGTCTTCATACAGCATACATGGTAGAAGGGTAGATTTAGGATAAATGCTATGGAAATGGAAAACCTTTAACAACAAGGCAGTTATATCGTGGATATCGTTTTATTTTTTGGAGGGAGAGGAATTTTCAGTTTGAACCAATATCAATCGATGATTTGTTTTTCAAAAATATCTTGTTAATATTTATTACACGTTAAAATCATGTATTCTATAAACTAATAACATTTACGGGACCAATATTTGCATTACTTCTAGTACTCATAGGTGAATTCTGTAATGTTTAATTTATTGTGCTTTTTGTTCTGAATTTTAAAAAGTTTTCTTTTCGACACCTTAACAACGTCCCTTTATTTGTATACTAATATATTCATCATTATTTTCTTATACCTCATCAGTTCTGTATAGCGTAAATTCTTTCAAGCTTTTAACCACTTTTACACTTTGGCCCATGCCACCAGAGTTGACTTTTAAAGGTGTCTGCTTGACTTCAATTTCGCCAATGTTTCCCATCAAACTTAGAGTTTTAGTGATATCTCCAGGATGAAACACTATCTCCAGACTGTCATACTGACCATTTTCTATGCTTGTGGTGAGATTGTTTTCTTCTTGTGATAAGTTGGATTCTAGATGTTTTTGACATAGACAAACTTGTAATTTTGTTCCGTTTTTTTCTCAAAAGTGCCACGTTTGCCTTTAAGTCTTGAATTACATTTCGTTTTTCCTTGAGTCTTTGTATTGTTTCATGTGCTTTTATTTTGCTTTCCGATTTTGACTTGTCCAACGTGCGAAGAAATTCTCCAATATCTTCGTCTAATTTCTTGCATATCTGAATCCTTATTTCATTAACATCAGTCTTTATTTCGCTTGCTTGTGTATCATTGAAACCAATGGACTCTCCTAATTTATTCAAAATAGTTTCCATTTTTGAAAGTAGAACATTCAAGCCTTCTTCAATATGGCAGAAACTTACAGATGACTTTGCGTTTCTTAAAACATCTTCGAGTGGCAAAACACTATCACATGTCTTATGATCTAAAGTGCTGCATTTAATGCAATAGAATTCTTGATGAACACAACAAAAAAAGTAAAAATTTCTTTCGTGTTGAGAGCAGTTTTCCTGGACAGATTGTGCAAAGACTGGTATTGATAGACGGTCTTTAAAACGAACAATGTCGTGTCGTTTTAAAGTTTTTGATGATCTATGATAGTGCATGCAATACTTACAAAGTCCTTCATTACAAACTATACACCAACCAACAGGTGTCACTGGTTCATTTCTAAACATACAAGGAGTACACATATTGTTGCTGAATACATCTTTGTCCTAAAAATATATTTGCAATAAATGTTTATTAAAATTTAATAAACGTTATTGATTTTATAAATTCCGAAATATTTGTTTAGTGAAATGTATATGACTTCTGCAAAAGTAATCATGGTGGTTTGTTTTGAAATTGTTAAGTCTAGTTTGAAAATGACATTGCTTGATGATGATTACTGAAAAATTGAATTAATCGACGTCAGTCAGTCTGAATGCTTCAAGTTGAAGATGTTGAAGGTTTTTTTTTCTGACGGAATATACATTTTCACCTTTTGCGAGATTCGGTTGTTTGCGTTTTTGATTGTCCTCTTACATTTTACAGCTATATTTGTGTATTTTAAGGAACTAACAATTGTATGGCTTATCTATGAAGAGATCACCATTTTATAATCGGCTGGAGATAGTCAAAACCCACGTTTTGACAGATTTTGCAAATTTTCTAGTATTTATCCAAAAAAGTGTAAGAAGGTAATCGCTGACAAAAACCAAAATTATATTGGAAGTAAAGATATGTATTATTAATACCTATTAATTCATTTTGATTAGCGACGTGGTTTCATTCAGCATTTGACAACAGCATAAATCTGTTATATTTTGAAAAAATATGTTGAGCATATGACAACCTCTCTTTTATATTTAATTGCCAGTGGGATTTGGCAACTTTAAAAATGCAAAACGTTGAAGTTGTGAGGAAAGGTGTTCCAATAAAAAGGGAAATATAAAAAGAAGATGTGATATGATTGCCAATGAGACAACTCTCCACAAGTGACCAAAATGACACAGAAATCAATAACTATTGTTACAGTTCACCGTACGGCCTTCAACACTGAGCAAAACCCACACCGCATAGTCAGCTATAAAAATCCCCAAAATGACAAATGTAAAACAATTCAAACGAGAAAACTAAGGGTCTAATTTTATGTACAAAATAATGAACGAAAAACAAATATGATACACAGCAACAAAGGACAACCACTAAATTACAGGTTCCTGAATGTTGTCACAGTACAACATAAGAACAAACTATTAAAATGAGTTGAAAAAGGCTTAACTCATCAGATGGATACAAATAGCAATACATCTAACAAAAACACTAAGTGGACTGGGACGGATACTTATACATCCCAACAACAACAAAAAAAAAACACTAAGTACAGATCTGAGAGTACTCGCAGTTACTGCCAGATAGTTAAAAGTCAATAACGACTTATAATCAAAATCATGTATCTAAGACCAAATTATCAGTACACATCCAACATCCAATGGATGTAGTGTAAAGACGTCATAAACAGTCAGAGACAAATAAGACCTTGTGTAATGTCAAGATTGTGCCAAAGGAACATCACCGTCCAAAAAAGGAAAAATAACAATAAGGAACAAAAAATCGTCCATTTTGTCGTAAATTTTAGTTAGAGTTTCCCATGCAAAACTGAATATTTAAATCTAGGAAAGTACAGTTATTACCGTTTATATCTGATTTATTTAAAGTAAGTTCCTTTGAATAAATTTCGGCAGTATATTTAGAAAATTCATGATTATTTAACGAGAAAATATCATCAAGATAACTGTAAGTTATTGAATTTATAAATTAAATGTAATTATGACGGGTCTTTACTGAGTTTGATCATAAACTGTGATTCATAACATTACAAGAAAAAGTCTGCTAATAAAGGGGCGCGATTGGTGCCCATAGGAATACCTACAACCTGTCGATAAACTTTATTGCCGAAACGTACATAAATATTGTCAAGGAGAAAATTAACAGCTTCAATCATCGCATCACACCTCCAGTAAGAATATCTAGCATATTTACCTTTCTCATTAGAGAAGAAGGCTTTAAATGAGTTGCAGCAAATATATTTGCAGTCATATTTACTAAACGACAATTTAATTAAATAGGAAAACTTTTGTTTGATAAGATTGTGTGAAAGCATTTTCTTAGATGAGCGTAAATCTATGCAATCATTTACAAGGAAGGTGGCAAAATAAGTTAATGATACAGTGAAAGTATTGGATCAGATCAATTAGGCTGACCTCAAATCTCTAGCCACAAATTTAAGGACTGAATGCAAAAGGAAAGCAATAGATCAAATTTTGGAAAAGCTGTGGAGAGCAACTTAAACATCCTGAAATTACAAAATCGTGACGTTACGCGTTTTCGTCAGCTTATGTTCGCAGAATAGACAATAAAATTGTGTCCTGGTTAACAATAAACATCGAAAATAGTGTCATAAAATTTAGATTATATCGGCGTGTACACCGCCACAAATTAAGGTATTGTATGTTAATGACTGACATTCAGATATTAATACAACGATGTGAATCAAACTTGCAGTTCATCTATAATGTACGAAAGCGTATTAGGGCCATCCTTTTTTATTTATTTTTTCAAATTGTTAACTTTAATCTTGGAATTCTCAACATTAATCTTGATGAATTGATATAAGAAAATGTTTACAACGCTCCAAAAATTCAGAATTCACATTTTTTTTTATTACAAATTCAGACAACTCATTTAAATTTTGAAGAAAAGTTGCATACAGTTGTGAGAGAAATGTATACTGGAGTGGTTTCATAGTCGTGTAGTGAAAACTTACAAGAAAAGTTCAAAAAGTATAACAGTGTTATAAGTAAATGACTTGTTCAATTTGGGATCTATTCTCCTTGAGCCTGTTGATGGAGAGAGCCGTTTGTCAAATGACCTGGACCAGATATGCCAAATGACCAGAGTTTTGACTTTTCTACTCTTTTCAATACACTTCAACACAACCTAATAAAACAAAAGATTTCCTATTCAATTAAACGGCCGTTTGGTAAATCTGAATGCAAATTTATTTGCTGCAACTCATTTAAAGCCTTCTTCTCTAATGACAAAGGTAAATCTGATAGATATACTTACTATGATTGAAGCTGTTAATTTTCCTTTGATATTATTTACGTACGTTTCGGCAATAAAGTTTATCGACATGTTGTAGGTATTCCTATAGGCATTTTAGACAAATTACTTGCTCAAACATCAAAAAAAAAATTTTTAATAGTTAATTTCACTATTTTGATTTATCTTATTTCAACATTTCATGATAAGTTCTTTGATAATAGTTAAGGAACTAGTTAAAAGCACTGAAAGATTAGATGTAGAACACTCACTAGAGGCCGAGATGAAACGATATTTTATTGGTTTTTTTTTGTATAGTTTAGGTAACCAATACATAGTAGGGACCTTCAAGTGTTAAGGAAAGGGCTTAAGCTGTGATATGGTTATGATATGATTGTTTACTATGTAACTCTCTGTGGAGTACACGGAATTGAATGTAGAAAAATTTAAAATTTCATTCTTAAGAACATCCGTGTAGTATTTACGGCGTACCACCACCACATTGTTGGCTGCTGTGTCGGCTGGTACTAACACAAACCGATTTGAAAGTCCGTGAAGTTTTTTTCTTATTGTAGAAATAGGCGTAAAATTTACTCTTTTATTTATTTCTGAATTATTTTTAGAATATGATATTCGAATATCCACAACATTTATGCATTAATTGAAATAAGAATCAAGTGATTTTTTATCAGATTTTTCCTGTTTACACCAATTTGTACAATACGATGAAAATGCTTCTTTTCGTGACCTAACGAGCTGTTTCCAATCTATTTTAGATGGAGGACGATATTTTGGTTCTTTTTTTCAAAAAGAATTTAACCTCTCGGTCTTGAACGATATGAAGTCCCCCGTAATAGTATGGGCGTAGGGATTATAACTACAATTCGACAGTCTCAAGATAGAGGAGTATTATTTTCTATACTGACGTCTGATGTTACTGACGTATAATTAAAATTTAAACTTCACTGTATTTAGTATGTATAATTCAGAAAAAGGGTGAAGGTTTGGTACCATTAAAACGTTTAAACCCGCTGCATTTGTTTGCACCTGTCCTAAGTCAGGAATCTGATGTTCAGTAGTTGTCGTTTGTTGATGTGGTTCATAAGTGTTTCTCGTTTCGTTTTTTATATAGATTAGACCGTTGGTTTTCCCGTTTGAATGGTTTTACACTAGTAATTTTTTGGGGCCCTTTATAGCTTACTGTTCGGTGTGAGCCAAGGCTCCGTGTTGAAGACCGTACTGTGACCTATAATGGTTTACTTTTATAAATTTTGACTTGGATGGAGAGTTGTCTCATTGGCACTCATACCACATCTTCTTATATCTATAATAGGTGGTTCTCTGTTATCAAAATAGTGAGGTATAAAGTTTTAAATGGTACAGTCATTAGCTATACTCAATAAGTTGAATAAATTTGAAAATATTCAATTTTTAGAAAATGCTGTTTATGATCTTGACGAATTTATGAAAATGTCTACTTGAACTATCGGTTTATTCTTAAAGGCCAGGAATAGACTATTTCTCTTTCATAGACATTTTCGGAAATTCGTCTATTTGAAAAATGGCAGTATTATTTACAATTTCTTTTTTTAATTAAATATCATGATTTTGTTTGTATTGATTTTTTTTAACTGAATTTAGATTTCTATATATCTAGTTGGGTGCTAGACCTTAAAACTTCTCCAACAGTGCATGTTTTTGTGTACTCCAGATGTAAAGCAGCAATTTTTGTTCATTTGTTTTGATGAACCTTGAGAAGGGGGTCTGTTTCTATTTTCTCTAATGGGCAATGAAGAGATTGTTAGTTATGTATACTAAAGTCATGGATAGATACCCCATATCCCTTGTGTTTCTATTAATAAGAGATAGTGTCGCGACATGAAGAGTTAACAAATAAAAGTGCAAAGAATATATTGAGGTTCCTGTCTTGTCTACATCACAAAATTTACACGGAGACAGAGTACAGACAAATTGGAAAATATATTAAAGTTTTATGCATTTTGTTTTTTAGAAAGTAAAATGCTTACCTGCATTTTGTTGTGCACTTTTTTCCTGTCTACAGAAAACGGTCAAATAAACAAACAGTTGAGTTTCATTTGACACGGTACACTGAGTTATATAGTTTAGATTACCTAACAGTTGTGTTCTGTTTCCACTCTATTGTGCATGTCATTCGATGCAAGTATCATATACGCGGAAGTTATTCAAACGGATCGATCGTCGTGGGAAGGTCAATTCTATTACAATCTTAACTCTTTATTATGTACAAAAATTTTCTGACAAAAAGACATTCATTAATATTGTTAGAACTGTTCTTGTTTATAATTAAAATGAAACATAAATGTTTCTTATCGATTTGTTATTATATGTATTAAGATCTATCTCTATAGAATCCAATGTCAACATTTGTGATATTATTATTGATATTAATGCTAAGTGAAATAATGATGAAGAAGATAATAGTGGTCATACGGATGGTATGTTCTCAACTTTTCACTTCAATATTAGAATAAGGCGCAGTAAAATATACTATGTTAAAAGTGCCAATAACAAAGCAGAAGTAATACATCTAACTGAAACTCATCTTGATGAAAATATATCTTAAGATATAAACATTGAAGGTTAACGTTAAAAAACTTGTTTTTGTTTCTGTTGCTGAAATGATAGAACTATGTAGCCCCTAAAGTCATCCTAGTATATAGAGATAATAAAAAATATTAGAGAAAATGAGACATCAGATTCAGTGACGTCTCATAAAATTGTAAAAAAATATGAATAAGATCAACATCAAAAAGGCAACGGGTGCAGACGGCATACCAGCAAAAATTGTTAGCGAGAGTAAATCTGAGATTGTACTTCAGCTGACAAGGTTTATAAAATTGTATGTTAATACAGGTGTTTTCCCAGATAAACTCAAAGAAGCTCAAGTTACACCGCTGCATAAAAAATTATCCTCTGTTAAAATCTAATGATCGCCCAGTAAGTGTTTTATCCATTTTTTCTTAAGTGTATGAGAAAGTTTTTGAGATACCGTTGTATGACTATTTTGATTTAATATTTAATCCATATTTATGTGCTTTCAGAAGGAGTCACGGATGTCAGACTACACTGCTCAGATTATTAGAAGACTGACGTCAAGTTTTAAATAAAAACCGTTTCATTGCAGCTATATTTATGGACCTTTCAAAGGCATTTGACTGTTTAGCTCACGATATTTTTCTGGACAAATTACAAGCTTATTGTGTATCTACACATTCAGTATTCTCTTGCATTCATATCTTTCTTACAGAAAACATCACATTAAAAGTCAAGGGTGTTCTCAGTAGTTGGGCTGACAACCAGAAGGTGTACATCAAATCAATTTTAGGCCCACGGTTATTTAATGTTTTTATACACGATATGTTTTTAATTTGGGAAACATAGTTCTTTATATAATTATGCTGATGATAATACCTTGTCTTTCAGCAATCCAGATTACAATTCACGTGTATCCACGCTTAACTTTTAGTCTCGAGTACTTATTGACTGGTTCAAAGTAAACAAAATGCAGCCCAATCCAGACAAATTGCAGGTTATTGCCGTCGGGAAGAAAACCTTAATTGTCTCCGATTTAGAAAAGGACATGCCAATTGCTGTTTGTAGTGCATAATTATGAACGTTTGCTTTTACGAATGACAAATTAAATGATAATGATAAAGGTACACTTACATTTTTTATTACATGTATTTTATTAACATTTACTGACTTATTGCGTCACTACTTGAAGCTTTTCCCAGTTTCAAAATATGCAAAATATGACGCACTTGATTTGGTGTTATATAAAAAAAAATCTTCTAGTCCAAAATTCTCATGGAAAATTCGTTGATATTCTCAAGAAATGTTTTGGAAAGTTTTGGAACTTTATCTCTATACCTTTTTCATCTATGATTAAAGATTCCAAATCAAAAGTTGAAATATCCTCGTCACATTTGTTAAAACCGGCATTAGGATAGTCCCATTATAATTCTTTTTCCAGTATTGATATAATTTGATCTGGTAAGATGATTCAAGAATATAATAGGTCCATTATTATCAATGTGCATATGATCTATTTGTTTTACATGGGAATCCTTGACTTCACAGGAATCAGATACTTGATTGGTATTAAACAAGGACTAGCGTGTGGCACAAAATCTGGTTGGTTCGTTTATTACATATAGAATATTCGATATACTATCTAAGACCATTTAGTCTATTATATGTGAATGTTCTGTAAGACGATCAACATTTACATCACCAGTTATTACAACATTAGAATATATAGTTCAATGTATTTTCAATGGATATTTAAAATCCATCACAAAAGGTATTATTATTAGAAGGTTTCGATATACAACAAAGAGTAGCAATACATAAGAAAGGAAATTAATTACAAGCACTATGATTTCATTATCAAAATCTACATTAGGTCGAAGTTTAGCTGGAATCAATCTACTGATATATATTGACACACCCCCCTTCCCCGAACAATTGCGATCTATCCTGTATGGCTCTTTGTATAAGATAAGTATAAGAACAGATAAGACAATTTTATTTTGAATCGGCATTTATAAAACTATACAACAAGTTATGGCACTTTTGCTCCATAAATGTACATTTTTCATCCATGATTATAGATTCCCAATCAAAAGTAGAAATAAGCCCGTCACATTTTAGGATCAAACAAGGACTGGCGTGTGCACAAAATCTGGTTGAATCGTTTATTACATATATAATATTAGATAAACTGTCTAAGAAATTTAGTCTCGTAATGTCAAATAATTTATGTGAATATTATACCAGACTAATCACCGAGTTTATACTTACATGAATAACACGAAGGGTGCCAAATGTGAAGCAGGATTTATTTACCCTTTCGGAGCACCTGATATCATCCATGGTTTTTGAAGGGGTTCGTGTTGCTTAGTCTTTAGATTTCTATGTTGTGTTTTGTATACAGTTGTTTGTCTTTTGGTCATTTTCCATTTTTTTTTTTGCCATGGCGTTGTCAGTTTGTTTTCGACTTATGAGTTTGGATGTTCCTTTGGTATATGTTGCCTCTCTTTTTCTGTAAAATGATCAACATTTACATCCCCAGTTATTACACCATTATAATGGTTCAATGCATTTTCTATGTATATTAAAAATCTATCACAAAAGGTATTATTTTTAGAAAGTTGTCGATATACAACAAAGAGGAGCAATTCATAAGAAAAGAAATTAATTGAAATCTTTTATAGTATAAGCATGTCACTTGATGATCACAGGATAATGCGACACCTCCAAAGCGTTTGGCAGGATATGAAATACTGGTCTTATAGTCTTAGATGCATGATTTTTTTTTATTTGTTGTTAATGGCTTTGAACTAGCTGTTAGTAACTGTGAGTACTCTCAGATCTGTACTTAGTGTCTTTTTGTTGTGGTTATGTATAAGTACCCTGACAAGTCCACTCTGTGTTTTTGTAAGATGTATTTCTATTCATATCCATCTGATGACTTAATTCTTTTTCAACTGATTTTTATAGTTTGTTCTTATGTTGTACTCTTCCACCACCGTACCAGGTTAGGGGAGGGTTGGCGCCTTCATAATAGTTAAACCCCGTTACATTCTGTATGTGCCTGTCCCAAGTCAGGAGCCTGTAATTGAGTGGTTGTCATTTTTTTGCTGTTTCTCATATTTATTTTTCGTTTATTGTTTTGCATAGTTTGTTCTTATGTTGTACCGTTGCACAACTGTCCCATATTAGGGTGACGGTTTGACGCCAACAAACTAGTTTAACCCCGCCACATTCTGTATGTGCATGTCCCAATCAGGAGCATGTAATTCAATTGTTGTCGTTTGTTACTGCGTATCATATTTGTTTTTCGTTCATTATTTTGTACCTAAATTACGCCGTTAGTTTTCACGTTTGAATTGTTTTGCATCGATCATTTCAGGGCCTTTTATAGCTGACTATGCGGTATGGGTTTCGCTCATTGTTTGAGGCCGTATGGTGACCTGTAGTTGTTAATTTCTGTGTCATTTGGTCTCTTGTGGAGAGTTGTCTCATTAGCAATCATACCACATCTTCTTATTTTTACATTTGAATACTAGTAAAGCTGAAAGCATATGGTAATGATATAAACTATACAAATGTTTCTACAGTTATATTTCAAATAACCATCTGACCATGATTGGCAAAAGAAGAAAAATATGAATGTAATACGTTTAAATTGTTAGTTATTTCGCTCTGAATTTAGAATTTAGCGGGAGACGTCGCGAATCTTTTCCCAACGTTGGAAAGCGATCGACTTCCCCACAAAAGGTGACAATTAGAGAAAAACTCTTCCAGGAACGACTTTAAAGACTGACTCTGAAATAAGCACGGTAACACATTTCTTTTTATGTTTTTATTTCAAAATTCACAACGAAAGCCGACTGATAAAAAAAAAAAAAAAATAGAAAAAGACAATACAAGAAACTTTTAAATATGCACAATAAATGTTGGCATATTTTACTCAAATTCGTTTTCGTTTTGAAATGAAACATTATTGTTGATATGTAATTTTTCACTCATGGACATTTATTACAGCTTTTAAATAACACCGCTTTTGTTAATTTATTTGTCAATTTAGAAAATTTCAACGAAGTTTTAAAATGTTGAACCTCATTTTTCTCGAAAACAAACACGGTAACCTATGTTTTATTTTTATGGATTTTTCAAGAATTTATCTCAGTCTACGACATACATGTATTTCAAAAATGACAAAAAGGACCCTTTAAGCCACTATACTAGCTTAGGAAACAAGACGTATCATTTTGAGTATTTTGTCTTCTTCAGAACTCGATGACCCCTCTTTAGTTATTAATACGGACTGCCATTGTCTATCACGATCGTTTCTATATTACGTTTTTAATGGTGTGATGAACATCTTTATTCATATCTTTATTCATATCAAAGTTTCGTGTGTACTATGTTTTCATTAGCCAACACCTTCGACAATTTTTTCGTTATATAATACTTTGAAACCAACCGAGAAGAAATACGATCCGAGTTACTGTTCCAGAATAAATCAGCAACTGGTTCCTTTACATTCCTAAA